CCTGATCGATGGCATAAACTCTGGCCTGCTGTCTACCCCTCTGCCGCTGCTGTTGAGGCTGCCTCTGTGCCTGCTGACGGGGCTGCTGCTGCTGCGGTGGCTGCTGAGGCTGCTGAGCCTGCTGAGGCTGCTGCGCCTTCTTCGGACAACGGTTCGCAAAGTGTCCGGGCTCGTGACAGTAGTAACAGATATCTTGGCCGAAGCGACACTCGCCTCGGTGAAGTCGTCCGCATGTGGGGCACTGTGGGATCTGTTGTAGCCTCCGCCGGGTCCTCTTATCCATCGGAGCACCTTTCCCCTTCCTATTGTTGTTCTTCGGTGGCTGGGCAGCTGGTAGAGCTGGCATCGGTGGAACTGAAGATGACTGAGCATGGGCGGATGACTGAGGATGATCACGGACGGCCTCCCTCCTGATGCTGGCGTCCACCTCCTGGGCAATCGAAACAGCATGAGCATACGTCTGTGTCCCGTGGCCTACAATGTTATGACGGACTGCTGGGTAAAGCCCGTCAATGAAACGCTGTGCTCTCTGGGCCTCCGTGCGAACCAAATCAGGAACAAAAGCTGCAAGTCTAGTGAACTCCCTCTCATACTCGTCAACAGTACGAGTACCCTGCTGGAGCGATAGAAACTGACGCTCCATCTCTGCTCGGTAGTAGGTGGGGTAGTACTTCTCGCGGATCAATTCTTTGAGCATATCCCACGTACATCTCGCCTTCTCGTCGGGACGCATACTCCAGTAGGCATTCCACCAGAGCCGAGCATCACCGGTGAGCTGAAGCTGAGCGCAGATTACGCGATATCTATCGGGGCAATCCATGACCTCGAAGATAAACTCCAGGCCCTGAATCCACTCGTCTACGATACGGGGGTCTCCTTGGCCGGAGAATTTCTCGGCCTGATAGTCGCGGAACTGTGCGACTACTGTGGCCTGAGTAGGAGCCGGATGATCGGATTCCCTACGGGGCGGCATCTGAACATTGAGAAAGTTCAAAATTATTGAACACGTGATAATATTCTGACTGATTACTAAGGCACACAAATCTCTTGACGAGTCGCCAAAAATGGCCGATAAATACTGACGTGAATCCTGAGGAACTCTAGAGTCATATCAAAAGATACTAAATTCTAGAGTCATATCCGAATATACTAAATTCTAGAGTTATATCTGAACTCTAAAGTTTGAATCTGATTCGAGCATCTTATGTAATATCCCATTCAGTTAAGTATCAGTTATCTTCAAAACCAAGAGATTTTAAGGGTAAATAAGTTTAGAAATTAAAGTTTTTAAGCCACACGGGTCGTGTCACAAGTGACACGGGTCGTGTGGAGTCACACGGGTCGTGTCACAAGTGACATGGGTCGTGTGGCTCAAGATGTTATTAAAGTTTTGCTTCGGCTTTATGACACGAGCCGTGTCACTAAGTGACACGGGTCGTGTCACTAGGTGACACGGGTCGTGTTGCCGACAAAAATGCAGATTTCTGAGATTTTACATTTAATGCCAACCAATATGATTTTTTAGCAATTAATTATGTTAGCTGATAATGTGAATTGTTAGGTGAGGATTTATTTAAGTTGATTAAATTTTAGAAGTTTAAATTGTTTATTTTGTTAATTTCTACACTCCAAATAAATTATTCCAAAATTTTGGCTATAAATAGGG